TTTTTGGCAATCCAACCTGTTAGATATTCAAGACCGTCTTTTTGAAGCTTATGTCCCACTGAGGACGTTGATGTAGTTGTGCTGCTTATACTTCCTACACCATCAATATCACTCCAGTCTGTAGTTAGTTCTGTATGTTTGTCATTTATTGGAACATCTGCGATTTTTAATATTTTTCCAGAGATAAATTCATCACTGTTCTCTTGCACAATGGTATTCGTTGCTTCTTTAACAGCAGATGGCGTTTTTCCTAAAATAACATATTATTATAACATGTCTCTTATTTAATAAAATACATTTTTACCAAGTATAATTATTCTTAATCTATAAATGACGTTTAATGGTGTAGGATGATCATCCATACCACCTCTAGTCCTTAGCTGACTAAACAAGCTTTCTAACGTGTCCTGGTTTAACTTGTGAGTCAGCAAAAATTTTGTTCCATACAAATCTTTCATTTCACTGTATAGTGTTTTTAGTGATGATATTGATATCAGCAGAGCTTTTTGAAAGACTTGCAATTGTTTTTTCCCTTGACATCGCAATGACGAAAAAGTTGCATAAATTTCATCCAATCGTTCTCTTTGAGAAGCCATGTTCATGTACGGTTTTTTAAATTTAATGGTTTCATTTAAGTTCCTCGAATTCATTATGTCGAACCAGTCATTGACATGTTCTATAAATTCTGATAAATATTTTGCTTCCTTATTTCCAATACAATATCGGACTAGGGCAACAGCAGTTGTATGAGACAATAACTGTGCTGCCAAAGGCACATTTTGTCTTGCAGTACCAGTAACTGTTATGTGTTTCTCCCTTACTTTAAATAGGGAACTAACGTCACTTTTATTCTTTTCTATAAGTTTTACTAATGGATCTTTAGTAATGGTTACATCAGATTCAAGTACAAAACCTAAAACAATTGAAAAATTAGCTGCAATATCATTTACATAGTCAATTTACCTGTATCGAGAAGCCAGTTTCTAATTAATTTTAAAATGTGTGGCGCATCTGGAAAATAACAAATTTTTTTCCCAGTTATGGGATGATCAAAATAGACTTTATCCATATTTATCCCCAAATCACGTATAACACCTTGATTTGCACCACCGCAGTCACTAACAAAGGCAACCACATTATAATTTATTTCATGAAGAGATCTTACGATGTTGTGCACTAATGTAGTAGTCATATTGGTGTCAAAGTCGACAAAAATCACTTGTTTCCAATTACTATAGAGCCCTCTAGCAATTACCACTTGTACATAATTATGTGGGCCTTTGATTTCATCGAACTTTACATCATACTCATATAAGGCCTTTACCTTCATTTCATCATACATTATGACAGTGGCCTTTTCTGTTTCTGAAAGGTCCTTCCCCATGACATTCATTAAGTTTAAAATATCGTGCAATATCCCATTTCTCAGATTAATTTTTCTGGCATAATATTGCAAAGTCTTTAAATTTGGTAAAGGATAGCCTTCATTTCTCATAAAACAGTATGCTTTCTTGCTGAAATACCGTAAAGTAAATGCTCTTGCTATTTCTTCTTTTGTCCAGGTCACTCTTAACTTCTTTTTTAAAATTAAATTAATTTGATTTTCAGTTAAAACAGGATCAAATTTCTTTGCAAGTTCAACAACATTTACTTGCTTATTCAACACCTGCAGTGTCTGTATTTCATTTTCCAACACAGAATTTTTTTTTTTCCAGCTTTGCAATGTATTGGTCTTGCTCTTGTATAGTTTGGACCAAATTATTATTAGAGCCATTTAACTGTGAAATGTTCTCTTCCAATTCTGCTACCTTTTTTTGCAAGTTAGCTTTATCTTCATCTTCCATTGAACCATTCTGTTCAAAGATACCAAGTTGATCTTCATTTGCCAAACAACCATTTTGTTCAAAGATGCCAACTTGTGTACTGTCACGACACTTTTCAGTCAGAACATATTTTTCAGGTATTGCTACAATTTTTTAGAATTTATTAAATGGCAGGTTCAATAAAATTTATCACTCACCTCCTGGTTTAAGTCTCATTTTATGTGGAATTTGGCTGTACATCTCTTTTTTGTATTTTATGTAGAAATCATCTGCAGAAAAATGTGCTGAACAAATTGTGGAAGAACATTTTGGTTTCCAATTTTTGCTTCGCTGACAAAATTTTTCCCAAATATCCCTTACTGTCTTGTCTTTAGGAAACAAGTGGAATGAGATTGATGCAGAATTTTCTTTATCCATGCCCTTAATTCCTTATAGTTAGTTCAATTTCTATATGTATTGCAAATTATTATTGTAAATATTTACCTTGCTTTTGTTATTACAGCTGTGCACTGCACAATAGTGCCCCGGCATAATTAATAATTACTCTAAGCAGAAACTCTATGAATAATTAAATTACTCTTATTATAATAATCCTGTCAAATGTCGAACACTTCAACAAGTTCGACACACGACAGCTGACAGCTGATGCGCTGACGTCACAACGTGCTTTGCTGCCCCTCACCCCTGTAAACCGAATTGCCTAAATGCTCGCTTATACTCCAACCTTCTCCTTTATAAATTAACCTTGGCATGTTACGATCATGCGCTGAAGATACCTCAGTTGCTAGTGTTGCCAATAGAAGTCCGCATTCCATTATACTCACTAACTAAGCATTGCTTTATTAAGTTACGGATAAGCAACGATGGTGCAATAGACAAACAATTTAAGACCCACTTAAAATTAAACACTTCTTAGTTAAGCAAAGCTTACGACAAGCTTCGTGCAAACGGACATTAGACATCTAAAACCTCGATTTTAGAGTAGCGTTTTTTTGTAAGTAAAATCAGATTTTTTTTCTTAAACATTTCAGTTTGTTGCTTAGCAACACAATACATTTTATTTATTTATTTTTTTCGTCTAAAGGGAAAGCACTTCAGCTTACCTAGTCACCGTACGTTAGTAAACACTTGGTAAAAAAAGGTTTAAATTCAACATCATTATCGGCAAAACAAAAAAGTCAAGTTAAAAAAAAGTTAACAATCGCCCTGTAGTACATTATGTAAACAAATTTTGAGGAAATCAAAAGGAAATCAAGAGGAAATCACAGGAAATCAAAGGAAATCACAGGAAATCACAGGAAATCAAAGGAAATCAAAGTAAATCACAGGAAATCAAAGAAAATCAGAGGAAATCAAAAGAAATCGGGGGAAATCAAAAGGAAATCAATTGTACACTTGATGGTCGGCGGTTTACCCTTGGGTCACAATGAATGACACTTTGAACTAATGGGGTTCAGAGCAGCTACTAGGCGTCTGTACTTGTCAACGTTTGTTCTTACTCTTACCCTAACAAACACAACTAAAACTATTGTATATTTGAGTGGGAGAGGGTGGTAACGTACCCTTCCCTTCCGTCGCTCGTTGGACCGCGGGCTTCTCGATTGGCCCGAACACTATTTAAGAAATGCAAACTCAATGCAGATTTACCAAAGAAAGGGAAATAAATGTTGGAAATGACGATTTGCCAGTTAACACGTTACTACCACACTTCATTAGCTATTGCAATTTATCGACAGAAGATTTGAAGTAGAAAGCAACAATTTAGATACTTAACTAAGTACTCACAATTACAGAAACGAGGGAGCGCAGCAAAATAACGTCAGCACGAACTCACGACCACGACTTCCACGATCACGATATTAGGTGAATAAGGTCCATGTTTCTTACAGTTTTGTCTATGGGTTTGTTCTTCCATGAGTCATAGCAGGTTCGGGCTTCTTCTTGAAAGTTGTCAAGGAAGAAAGTTCCGTACAGTTTTATTATATCTTGAATGATTTCATTATATGCATTTAATGTGTAAGTTGTCATTACTTTAGGATGCTTTGAAAATATCTGGAACGCTAATCGTTTGTCTTTTAAAAATCGAGCACTTGATGATTCTATTAATGAGTCTAAATAAGGTATAAACAGTGGTTTTTTGTAATAATCATAGGCACAATCAGAGCGGTTGTTTGCTCTGTAAACCTGCTTTTTAATGTTCGTGGCGCATGTATAATTATGCCCAATTGAGCAGCAGTATTTTCAGTTTTCTGGAAAATTGCACAGAATTCTGTTTCTGCATGCTCTAGTATAATAATAACAATAATGTATATTTGCCATACAAAAAAATACATGTGTATTATTGTTTAGGTGCGTCAAATAAATTATATTAAATATAATGAGTGGTGGGTCTTAACAATGAGTATACAACATAACTAATAAACAAACAACATATATAAACAACTATGGAACAATTACATATGTACTACATATTAAACATATCGACTGACATTGGCGTTGACATATATTCATCGCAGTTGTAAAAACAATTTGACTCCAGAAATGTTCGCATTATATTTTTAAACTTATTGCGATTCAATTGCCTTAATTTCAGTGGTAATATATAAAAAAGTTTGATACTCATGTAAGTGACTGACTGCTGTGTCTTACTTAAGCGATGTAACGGAATGACAAAATTTTGTTGGCTACGTGTGTTGTAACTATGGACGTCCGCATTTCTTACAAACGTTGCTTGATTTTCGTGTGCATGTAAGAGAATCTGAAGTATATATGTATAAGCTAGGCAGGGATAATATTTTCAGTTTTTTGAACAGGGGACGACAATGCGTGCGTTTTACACAGTATGCGAATAGCTCGTTTTTGTAAAGCAAAGATTCTTGTTGTGTGGGTTGAGCTTCCCCATAGTATTAGGTAATCCGTAACATATCAAACTATGTACATTAGAATGGTAGAATGTTTTAGCTGCACTGAAGGAGCAGTAAGTAACCAGTTTCCTTAGCTGAAAAATTCTAATATTAAGCTTCTTTGCCAAAAATTCCAGGTGGGATTGCCAGGTAAGTTTACGGTCTAAAGTGAAGCCTAGACATTTAACGTTATATGCCAATTTACCTCAGAATTTAAAGAAAACGCTATTGACTGTGTTTTATCTTTGTTCATTAATAGCCTGTTACTACTCAGTCACTTCTTTAATTGATCTGGACTATCTTTTTCTAGCGATATAAGTTCATTTAGTATTTGTATTAAGTCTTGAATGTACTCATTTGTTTTCAACAGATCATTATCTATAGACTCTGTGTCACAGGTTCGAATTTGGCGGAATATTTTACAATTATTTGTAGAGATATAAGAAACGTTGAGTTATTCACAGCACTATTGAGGTAGTAAACCTTTTTTTGTGTTTCTCAGTTACCTTCTGAAGATAATTTGGAGAGTGCGTCCGCCATATCCATAAAATTTTCTCCAAATTTTCTTATTGCTTTATATTTTTCAGTCCATTGAGTTTCACATAATTTTCGTAGTCGTGTTCTAACTACTTGGGTTCGTTGTCCGTTCTCTCGAAAAAACTTAATTATTTCGTTTACAGTTCCGGTACTGTTTCTTATTTCTGGAAGATGATTTAGATCATTGATAACTAAATTGAGACGATGACTAGTACAATGGTAGAACAAGGCAATGGAATATTTATTATTAATTGTTTTTTGAACTCCACGAATCTTTCCCGTCATTACACTACATCCATCGTATCCCTGACCGACCATATTTTGTAACTTTAAATTCCATGAAGACAACGTCGTTAATATTTTTTCAGCAGTGTATTCTGCATCCAACTGGGATAACGCTGTAAAGCCTAAAAATTCGTGATGTACTTTATTAAAATTAGTATTGACGTATCTAACAGCCAGAGACAACTGTTTTGTTCCAGATATATCTATAGTTTCATCAGCAAGAATTGACAACAAAACATCTTTGGTTAAACCAGCATTTTCTATTATTTTGTTCCGCAAAATTATCTCATTTTGCACTCTATGTGATATACAAGTAGCATTTTTGGGTCTGTTGGAAAAATGTTCTTTTAGTTCTTCATCACCTGCTTCAACTCTAAATTGCAAAAGTCTGTTGAAGATGGCGATTTTGTTGGTTTTGCCCCTTAGTGGTAAGTTTAATTCACTACAAAACAAAAGTGACGCAATAATAGATTTAAGTTTAATTCTATTTTCTTCAATAGTTTTCTGTAGCTGTTTGTTAACAAGACAATCTACACTTTTTGTGGGATCTTGCATAATAGAAATAAAATTTTCTGATTTTATCAATGCTTCTTTATGCCATTCGGAAGATCTATGCGCCTTTGCGCGTTCATGAAATTTTTAAAATTTGTAAATGGACGACTAATAAAAACACCGTGATGACTACCATGCTTGATTCTAGGACGGAACAACACACAACATTTACACAACACACCAGGAGCGACGGCCGACTAACAAACCCAGGAATCGGAATTAAATCAATAAAAAATAAATGTACGTTTTCCGTGGTTATACCATTTTTAAAATTGTATGCTTTATAAGGGACCTATGGATTTGTGATTTCATATTTTGATTTAACTTCGTATGGGAGGTCACGTCTAAATAATGTCCCATATCATTATATGTATCACTGTAATTAGAATTACTCCCCATCCCCACATTTTCCAATTTTATTGTTGAATAACTAGTTGAAGGCAATCCTTCCTTGTGTTCTTGTACTTCTTGTTGAACATTATCTTGATCTGGTGCCAGTTTTAAACGCTTAACATTAGTATCAGGAGCAAAATATTTTCGTATATCCATTTTAGCCGTTGTCGTATTATACAAATTGTTGTGCCACAATTCGCGAATTGGAGGAAACTGATGCAATGCAACGATAAAAATGCATGATTTACCATGATTATGATAACCTTAAAATATTTACAAGATTTCAGAGCATTCGGTTTTGCAGTTTCAAAGTTAAATTCCAAAATATTATGTATTTCGAATACAGTTTTGAATTATTTTCCAAAAATCTGGATGTCTAGGGTGAAAATTCGACACGGATTCATGCACCACAAGTGAAGATATATCTTATTTTATAACATTTAAAAAAACTCACTATGTGTTATAAATTTTGGAGATGACGTCATCCCATTAGTGGGAATGATTAGCCAAATTTTACTTAACGTTTAACCATCATCTACATGATATTCTTAATATACATACCTACAAAATTTGACAACAATCGGTCCAGTAGTTCCGGAGATTACGTGTCTACTAAAAATGGATTCAGACGCCAGACACACAGACAGATGGAAACGTGAGATCACTTTTTTCGTACTCTACAGGTCATGACACGTCGCGAAAATATGAAATGAAAGAGTCGATTACTATACTTCCTTAGCTTACGCTCGCGAAGTAAAAAAATCTTTACTTATGCTAAACACAATATCAATATGTATTTTATTGCAAAACGTCTACGTAGAAAGAAAGAAATTTATGTCGACACACAACATAAAAAAAGACATAACTTCTATATTTTTAGCACAGCTATGTATTTTCAACTGATACAGCTGAGAAACATACACAAACTTCACACTTAAGCGAAGAAAGATAGGCCATGGATTTGACTGTAGTTCATACGGAAAAGTTATTTAATCGTGGAAAATTGATTGTGTGTGGAAAGATGTAAGAAGATAGGTAAATTTTTGTAATGCCAAATAATTTTGATAAATATTTCACCAATGTAATCTAATTACATACTGTTTTAGTATGAAATATTAAATATTAATTATATATCATACAAAAAAAAAAGTATTCGCTATTACTGTAAATGTGTTTACATTAATTTAACATCCGCTTCGACGTAACCAATATTGCGTTCTATCATTGTTTGATTTTCCAGTTTCCATGCGTGTTATTCCCAATAAACCTCTACTTGGGAGGTGAATGTCGTTCCTAAAATAACCCCCATGCTTCACGACGTCGCGAACTCTGCCGATGCTTGAACTGGGTTTCTAAAAGCGTCAGTCAGTGCCATGGCGGACGAACAATCGCACGTGCCGCGCACGAAAACGCGATCTGCCTCTATCTGCGCCACCAGCTTGGAGGCCTTCCCTTCACTGGGAAATATCACTAATGGTGGCACTCCACAAAATCGTCGACGAAAGCCAGCTAATCGTTCACAAAGCGCCCGTTTAAACAGCAATCGTTCATTTAAGAAGAAGACTGCCGTTGCAGCTTCTAATCCACTAGATAATAAAGATCATTGCAATAGTGAACCAAAATTAACAGAGCCATCCGAAAATACGCCACACGTTTCCCCTAATATCAAAAGAAAAACGTCATCATCAAAAAGAGGAACTTCAGTTTATCACAGAAAATCCACCGCATTTCTTGATGTTCCAGATTCTCGCCCATCGAGTGAAAAACATGACGAAGAAAACGAAGATTCTTATCGTTTAAGATCTTTCAGTTTCACTTCTAAAGGTAAGATTTTTTTTTTGCAAGTAAAATTATAATAACTATATCATTTGTTTAAACAAAAACTGTATATGTTTTCATTAAACTGTTGTGTCAACGATGAATTTAAAAATAAATAGGTATATGAGTTTATCACTAGATTTTTTAACCAACGAGTTTCCATGTTAGTTGTTTAAAATTTTTTGGAAAGCATTCACCGCGGCATACATATATTAATAGAATTATGGTGATTTAATACTTACGATTATAGTGTCAGTTCAGTTCAGTGTACCAGATACTAGAAGACCATATGTATTATTTGACCAGAAACATAGTGTGGAGTGTGTCCCAAGTGTCTGTTGACTTACATTAATTTTTATGACGAGTCTTCTAAATACAGGACCGTACTTGAATTTAACATGCGCACTGACTGTAAATTCCGAGAACAAAAGAAACAAAAGGTAGGTACCTAATGACGTACTTAGAATTTTCTATACACACTTGTCTTAGCAATTATTATATTAAAACAAAATTTTTATTACGGTCCATCTAAACAAGGGTGCGCAGTTAAATCGTCATAAAAATTAGTGAAAGTCAAGAGACGCTTGGGGTACATTCCCCAGTATATATCTAGTCAATTAATAATAATAATATCGAATAAGAACATACAGATATACTAATAACACCTCTAATTCAACTGAAATCAATTCATTCTGCACGTAAGGCTTTTTACGCCAAGCGCTTTTCTGTTTGTGAACTTTAACATAATGTGGCATATCAAAATGTACGTTTTTCCATTTTCTATGTTGGTGGTATACGTAACAATTAATTAAAAAATATAGTCCTGTTTTAAGTTTTTTTTTGTTTCACTTTATTTTGTTTTTCTTCCTGTAGTTAATTCTAACTAAAATGATCAACTCCTAAATGGTGATGCTGAGATGAATGACACCATTCAGTTATTCAAAATATCGATAAATAAATTAATGAAAAATTAATTTGTAATGAACCCTTTTTGCAAGAGAGGATTTGAACTAAACTCGCTTTTGCTAATCTTATACTACGTAAACGAGCAAAGCTTGTATATATATATAATGGGTTTCTCGAAAACGGTTCTAACGATTTCGATGAAATTTACAGGTTAGGGGTTTTTTGGGTCAAAAAATCGATTGATCATAGTTTTAACTTCTGAAAATTACAGCTTCATGCATTTTCAGCAATTTTCAGGCAGTGAATTATATTTGTTGCTAGGCAATATCAGCTGACACTACACGAACACGAGATTATTTTATAAGAGAAGTTTGGGTGACAGTCTGACAGTACGTTTGACATACCTTTTTATCTTCAATTGTACGTACCGAAACATACTCCACTGTATAGAGGACGTTAAAATTCACCTTCTGAGGTGAGAAAAATTACGGAAAACTAAACAGTGAGCGGATAAAAGGCACACGAAAGTGCGTTGAATTGAGGTTATGTTGTCAAGCATTTATTTCAGAGGTTCCACGGTCGGAGTCAATATGTGATCGTTTTTCGGGATGGGACCGTGTTATTTGAGTTTTTGGGCTCAACGTTTCGCACGCTTTCGTAAGTGGGATCTTCGGGAGCAGGGTTGAGATTGAGAAATTAGGAATAACGCAAAAGAGCACGGTAACTCAGTATGTTAACCACACCAGAGGCGAAACTCTTCTGGCAGTAAGAATGTGGTTGTGACCTTTTTCTAGATTAAGAGAGAGAACTAGGAAAAAAAAAGAACGATACAGAGCGAACTTGGGTAACAAATGAGATTGTAATAAATGTCAAATAATAATTCCAGTTTTATATTCTTTAAACTCTACATGTCACTCATCAGTGTTTAAAACAAAGACTGCTTATGGAATTTCTTTTTTAATGTGTATTTTTAATTAGCGCGTGTACTTCAAAATGCATACTATACGCATATTTATCTGTCCTAATCTGATCTAATACTACTAAACAAGCCGATTGAAGCTCGGTCAACCAGATATTGCTTTATAATATATCCAAGTGTTTGTTTTTCGTGCGAAATTTTTAAACTTTTCACGCGAAGGTTTCCTGGATCAATTTAATTTAATGCAGTTTGATATACGTAACGGTTCAAGAGACTCATTTGAAGGTAAACTCCTCAAGTCGACGTGTTTTAAACTATTTTAACTTCCCGAGTATAAGATAAGTATTGTAAAATAGGGTCCATCTGGCGAATGGCTATTTTCATGTTTTCTCGACGTTTAATGAGATTAAGAGTACGAAAAAATAGGTATCCCGTTCATGTCTGTATGTCTATCATCCATCGTTTTTATTACACAGATAACATCTGAAACTACTGAACCGATTGTTCTCAAATTATATACGTATTATATGTGTATGGTAAAACATCAACCAAAATGTGTTTAATCATCCCCTCCAATAACGTGATGATGTTACCTAAAAATTGTGCATAGTAAATATTATTTTATTTTAATAACGTACTCCTACACATATGGTTGATGAATCTGTTGTGATTGTTTACCCTAGACATTCATATTTTTGGAAAAAGTCAAAACTGTATAACAACATTTCACATTTATTTTAGTTTGAAATTGCGAATGCTCTCAAATTTTGCAAACGTGTTCAAGTTTTAATTAACAATTTATGTGTGTGTACACGAATTTAGCAGCCTGACAACAAAACTTTTTTCTTTGTATAACGTTAAGTTGTATGGAATTATTTATAAGCATCTAGCTACTGAATTAATATATATATATATATATATAATGATAATCTTTAAAAATTATTTCTTTATCCCCTCCTAAAAAATTGAGGATGTCATCTCAAAATTTTGTCCAATATCTGTGAAATATGCAAAGTATTGTGACTCTACACTTATTGTTTATAAATGCACCCATAGTTTTTAGAATTCGTTATACAGGGTGACAAAAGAATGAATTAGGCAATTTATTATATTGATTAAATAAAGAACGACTCACTTCATTTTCCCGAAAATTTGTGAATACAGTACTGTTATTATTTGTATTACACTGCATCTATCCAAATTGAAATATGTGTCCTTGCAAAAATGTTGATGACATCACAAAAATTTGTACTGGGAAACAAACGCCTAGCTCACGTCTTTACTTTTACTTTAACATTACATACATATCTCTAATTTAACTGTATGAAGATTATCATAAAAAAATTAAATTCGCAAAATCAAATGTTATTGTTCTTCGAAAAATCTTAATTTAACTTCCAGAGCGTAAGGTAAAGAAGTCTTAGTAATCAAGTACATCGGACGAATGGCTATTTTTTACTGAATTTCGGGGGCGAGGGAAGTTCTGTCGGAGTAACCTTCTACCAATTTTTACTTCCCGAGCGGAAGTATGGTAATTGAGTCCATCGACCGACTTGCAACTTTTATGTTTTCTCGACGTTTTACGACACATAGTACGAAAAAAAGTGGTATCCCATTTACATCTGTCTGTCGTCTAACTATCTGCCGTCGATGTCAATATTAGACAGATAATTTCCGAAATTTTGTATGCATATTACCCGCCCATATTTTTGGAAAAAAAAATTAAAAATATAAAACAATGTTTTGCAGTTTAATTATGAATCTGCAAAACCAAATACTTTCAAATTTTGCAGATATTTTAAAGTTACGACAAGCATAATAAATGTTTAATCAAAATATATTTGCTTATCCCCTCCAAAAAATTGATGACGTCAGCTCAAAATTCGACGGAAAAAATCTTTTCTGAAATGTCTAAAATACATATGATGAGTCTATACTTGTGATTTATTAGTGTATTAACATCTCTTTGATTTGTTTATACAGGGTGTCTAAAAAAAATTAATGATTGAGTCAATTTATTTTATTGATTAAATCAAGAATTGCAAAGGAACGCAATGATAAACCACAAGTAAAAACATATTTTGCACATGTTGGTAAGAATTTATTCGGCAAAATTTTGAGATGACGTCATCAATTTTTTGGGGGTTAAACAGATATATTTTGATTAACAATGTACGATGCTTACAATAATTTTAAAACGTACAAGATTTCATAGTATTCAGTTTTGCAATTCTTGATGTATTTAATAAAATAAATTGACTGTATAAGCAAATCTAAAAAATTGGTCCAAGGTTACTTCGACAAAACTTTCCTCGCCCTTGAAGTACAGTCTTACAAATCCCGCTTCTTTGAAAAATTATACAAAATTTTTGTTTTTTGATAACCTTTGTATGTAAATTACACCTCGAACCCCGTGTGCCGTGTTGAAATTTGTTTGATTTGAATGAGTTGTCTCCTCAAAACACAGGGCTAAAATGATTAATATAACCACAATGAAACTAAATATTTTTAAAATGATTATTATTCTTATTTGATCTTAATTAAATAAAGACTTGGGTATTCTCAGATTTTCTAGAATATGACGTTCTTAATTTGATCAATAAAAAATTGGTCGAACGCTATAAGTATAATATGACAAATCAATCTCTTTCAAAAAATGATAAAATTTGATTTTACGATTGACGTTTAGTGACAACCTCTGTAAAGGAAAAAACAGCAGCATAAATAACACCCGTAGCCCCTGCGCCGTACGGAGTGTGTAAAATATATTTAAATCTCATAATTAACGGAACAAAATGTCCTTCAGCAGTGGGTAATAGCAATCTGAAGTTCAAATGTTTCTTTATGTTTATACATCGAAAGAATGTCACGTAGAAATTAGTTTAATTTGAACGAGTATGTCTTCTCAAAACAGAAGACTAAAATGTGTGTATTCTCACATTTGTGAGAAATTTGGCTACTCGTAATTAATTTGACCAATAAAAAATTTATGATGACGTTATGAACATGGATAATACTAGTTATAGCACAAAAGAAAAGTAGTCACACCGCATTACCAGTGCAAGGAAAAAAAAGGAAAGGGCCAAGTTCGGCACCTAACCCACGACCACATGCCTCCCGTTCCCTGAAAAAGCCACTGAGCCACTAAGCCACGAACACTCCTACTCTGTGTTGGTATTAT